CGGCCGCGGCGGGGCGGGGCCGGGGGGGGGGGCCCCCCCCGCGGGTCCCGGGGGTGGCGGGGGCCCGCAGCCAGGCCCGGGTGGGCCGGCGCAGGGCCCCTCCGCTCGCCACCACCTCGCTCGGCCTTGTTACATTTATTTCTAATCCCAACTGCAGTTTTTGACTTGTACATTTATTTCTTTCTCAAAATAACTTCTAGGGACATTAATGATATAAAAACTAGATCTAATTGTTTCCAAAAGTTTGTCCAAGTGTCATAACTGAACAGTACTGAACGCAGGCGTGTCATGGAGATATTGTGGGTTTGGTTCCAGACCACCAGGATAAAGCACACACCACAATAAAGTGAGTCGCCGGAGCGCTTTAGTTCCCTAAAGCATACAAAGTTGTATTTGCATTACACTGCAAGTTTGTTAATGCACATGCCTTCTATCGGGACCTTTGATCCAGGCCTCTAAAACTTTCTCCATGTCACCAAAAAGACTATTTTGTTTTATCATCCTTTGTGTGTTCATCGGAGAAGCACTTCTGCTTTTCCTCCAGAACTTTTGTTAAGGTTTCAGCCGGAGGGCATGTGTGCTCACTGGCGAGGGCCAGAAGAGGGAAAGTGAGAAATCACACTCTGCGGGATGGCTACCCCGTAGTCCCTTCTCATCTTGGGATTTGGGGCATGCATGCACATGTGCCCAGGTCTGGGACTCGAACCTGCTCTGCCATGGGGGAGACCTTAACTCCCACACCACCTGCTGCCCCGAGAACTGTTTCTTCACATTCACAATGTGGCTAGTCTGGCACAGAGGCCTGCCTTTTAGCTGTGTGGGCTGAAAGTCCTCGTACCTCTCTCCTAAGCCTGACCGTTTCGAGCTTTAGATTTCAAGCGAGAGTTATGCGAGTGTCCCTTTGACTTGAATCTTGCGAGGCCATTGTAGGGTCTTTATTGGAAATTTTCACTATTGTGTTTCAGGTACTAGGGTGACCCAGAGAGAGGGAGAAGGAGGAGGATGGCTCCTCGGTGAGGCAGTCGGAATTCGCGGGTACCAGTTAAGGGCACTGTCCTACACGGGCACGGTGTGTGGCTCCCCAATCAGTGACAACTGTAACATCAACGATCACCGATGGCCATCACTATAAATAAGGACCAGTCTGACATAGTACAAGAATTGCCAGAATGTGACACAGTGGCCAGGAGTGAACACGTGCTGTGGGAAGTACGTGCCGAGACCTTCTGTGCGCAGGGCTGACATAAACCTTCGCTTTGCAAAAAGCACAGAAGTTCAGCCCCAGCTGCAGACATGCCGGTGCACAGTGTTGGGGTGGGGCCTGGTGGCGCTGGCAAATGGTGAACACCCTGCTCTCCAGAAAACAGAACAGAATGAAAATGCTGTGTGCACTGTGTGTTCATTGCCAAGGCGCAAACACCTCGCTGTGGCCAACCTCAGGCCCCCACGTGATGTCTGCATGTAAAGTAGGGAAGAGACACATGGGAGCCATCATTACAGCGTCCCACCACATAGACACAATACATGGAATCAACCTTACGAGCATTGATTAGACCGGCACCATGACCTGCTGGCTCAGGGAGATGGACCCCACATGGTTGACTGCGTGATTCGAATCCTGACCCTGTTGGCTTGAAAAACGTATTCTGTGTGTGTGTGTGTGTGTGTGTGCCCCAAATCCCGACAGGATATAGAAATGAAAGAGAAGGGATTGTGGCACGATCATGCCCCACTGGGTGGTGCTTGCTCGCTCGCTCTCTCTCTCTCTCTCTCTCTCCCTCTCTCCCCTCTCTCCCTTCCTCTATCTGTCTCTCTCTAGAAAGCACATGCACCCTCCAGCAAATTAAATAAAAAAGAACATCAAAAAAAGGAACATGAGTCATGGAACATTGTAAAACAGACAGGGGTGAGTTTGGCGTAATTACTGCCCTTGCTTTGATATGATTTCTTCCGTCATGTTACATAACTGGCCTCTCCACAATGCACCGTGTATTTAAGAACTTGCTTGAGCCAACGCTGAAGTTTACAAGTGTCTCCTGAGCAGGTCCGTGCCCCAGCAGCCTAGGCACACCTGGAGTCAGACTTTGGGAACCACTGGCTCTGCCCTGCTCCAGTGCTGCGTCTGGAAGCACTTCACAGGCCCTCGGAGCCTGGAGACATTGTGGCTTCCCTTTTCCACAATAAAAAACTCGAAGGCCAGGCTTGGGTTGGAGCAGTGAGTCACCTCCTCCCGGGCTGCCTCGGAGCACCATGCCCGCTATGGTGATTGTCCCGTAACCAGGGCTCTGGAACCGTCTCCAAGGTGCCGCAAGACCG